GCCGCCCATCAAGGCCTGGGATAACAATTTCTGATCAAACACATTACTATTTCTCCCATGAAATATAAATATTCAGTTTAGGTGTAATTTAAGAAAAGGCTATAATTAGTCTCACATCGATTCAGGTCAGGTTTGGTCACCAAATGTATTTATATATTTTTCCCCAATTTTCAGAACTTTCTGAATTTCAGAACTGTGAATAAGAGACTGTAGTCCTATAGTAACACCGGCAGTAATAAACTGTTTATCTCCCACACCAGTGTTGGGGATGTGGGCTCCAGAGTCAGAGAAAGCTGGATTCAGTTCCTTCCTGACTGCTTGATTCTGGATAAGCCACTTGTCCTCTGTAAGTCTCAGTTTCCTCATCTTAAATGGAGATAATAGGATACATGCTTTCTTTTTTTTTTTTTTTGAGACAGAGTCTCACTGTCGCCTGGGTTAGAGTGCCGTGGCGTCAGCCTAGCTCACAGCAACCTCAAACTCCTGGGCTCAAGTGATCCTCCTGCCTCAGCCTCCCGAGTAGCTGGGACTGCAAGCACATACCACTATGCTCAGTTAATTTTTTCTATTTTTAGTTGCTCACCTAATTTTTTTTTTCCATTTTTAGTGGAGACAGGGTCTTGCTCTTGCTCAGGCTGGTCTCCAACTCCTGACCTCAAGCGATCCTCCCCGCTCAGCCTCCCAGAGTGCTAGGATTACAGGTATGAGCCACCACACCGGCCGGCATACATACATCTTATGGAGCTTTTGTGAAGACTGACTGAGATAACATATATAAAATTCTCAACACAGCGCCTGGCAGCTACTAAGAGATCCATCAATGTTAACAAAATTATAATAACTATTATTATGAGCTCAAATAAAATCAAGCCTACTCTCGCTCTGGACACTTCTTTAAAAAAAAAAAATCTACCATCTCCAAGGAGGCACCACCCTCTGGAATGATTTGAACTCAGTGATGCCCAGTATAGGAAGGGTAAAATTTTGTTCAAGGGATCTTTCCAGCTTCAAGTTTCTGAAACCCTGATGCCATCCCTCTCCCAGGAAGGAGGTGAATCCCCACCATGCCCAGCAGAGCAGGCAGCTGACAGGTCCGAGCCCCAGGCAGGGGAAAGGGCCACTTACCTTACACCGGTGGCAGCAGGAGCCATGGGCACACTCCGCGCCTGCCCTCAGGGTGCAATTAGAGGC